TTGGGACCAATAGGCTACTAAAGGGGTGAGCCAATTTAAAATCGTTAGTTTCGTATTGATTGTTGGTATTACCGCGCTATTTCCCCTCGCATAGCTATTTTTCTACAGAAATGATTTTCAATAACCGCAAAGCGAAGTAATACCACAAACGAAGTGACAGACGGAGCGGCTCGAAAACTTTGGTGGCTAACCTGCTATCACAAACGAAGTGACAGACGACTTACTGGCGAAGAAATCCATTAAAATAATGTGGTTCACTGTAATAGAATTTTCTTGGAAGCTTATGCCATCATCCACCAGATGGGTTAGTTTTTTTGTTTTGATTTAAACAAAGTGTATTTTGTGTACAATGATTCTTTGACAGTGTGCAAAGAGTGTATCATTTTGTCATTTTTTTATGCATTTCAGTTATGAGTAGAGTGAAAGAGATAGAACCAAAACATTCTGACACATTTGGTGAAAATGCTAGTACAATCCAGTAGTAGTGTTGCCATGTGGTACAATCCAGTAGTAGTGGTGTTGACATGTAATACACTGAAAAATTTAAATAGCAGGTTAGTCACCAAAGTTTTCGAGCCGCTCCGTCTGTCACTTCGTTTGTGCTGCTATTGCAATTTTTCAGTGTACCACATGGCAACACCACTACTACTGGATTGAACCACATGGCAACACTACTACTGGATTGAACTAGCATTTTCACCAAATGTACTAGAATGTTTTGGTTCTATCTCTTTCACTCTACTCAAAACTGAAATGCATAAAAAAATGACAAAATGATACGCACTCTTTGCACACTGTCAAAGAATCATTGTACACAAAATCAACTTTGTGCAAAACCAAAACAAAAATACTATCCCATCTGGTGGATGATGGCACAAGCTTCTAAGAAAATTCTATTACAGCGATCCACATTATTTTAATTGATTTCTTCGCCAGTTAGTCGTCTGTCACTTCGTTTGTGGTAATACACTCTTCTCAGCAATACATTTCTGTAGGGCAACAAGAATTTTTTTTATGAGCATCCCAACCAACATTTTCAGATTTATAAGCCAACTTTTTCAGCGTTGTGCAGTAAAGTAGCTGAAACAAAGCTACAGATACAGCTGCAAGCAGAGGCTAGCAAAATAGTTTTGGTGAACGTTTACTAAACATTTTCACAACCATTATTCAATTTGTCAGTCGCACTGAATAACAGCAGCCAATAAACGCTAATGTCACTTTTATACACATGCAAATCAACTTTCCACTTGTAGCTGCAAAACAAAGCTAACAAAGTGAATATATTACTCATTTGATGGCGTCTACACAACCAACCACTCTTGCTGGATAACATAAGCATCAAAAGTGCTTTTTCAATAACTAAACAACCTGTACTCAGCTATAAACCGCGTTAGCGCTATTTTGGAAGCATTTTTACAGTCACCTAGGTTTTTTTTTTTGACGTGTGCAGTTTTACAGCTTTTACTCTGCTCCTTTACAAAACTGAATTAACTATATACTATAGTAGAGGAAAGTGATTCATGTGCACTATTATAAAGCCTCTACTCGGTTATCTTGTTGTATCAGGTCATGTAGATTTGTTTACGCCAGTTCAAAGTGTTGGCGAAGCTAAGTTGGTATTGTCGTTGTTTGCCAATGCGGTCGTCTCGAGTTCGATTCCAGCACAGATGAACAGACGTAACACTGTATATTGTATATCTTCGTTCACGCATTTAACGGTTGATTTGAATATTATCAGTTCCGCGAACTACTCGCCGTAGCGCTGGCATCAGATCACTTTGACGTTTCTATACATTCTATAGAAATTTTATGCAATATTGTTTGCGAGTTAGCGAGCAAGCTTGTTTTCCGCGAGTAGCCCGAGAGATGTCGTTACTGAGGTCATATGTTTTGAGATACTATGTTTTCAAGAAAAACTTATTCATAGAGTTAAGTCTGTTTGTCTGTGATTCCAGGTTCCGGTGCAGGGTAGATAAAATGTGGTGGAATGCTTATAACCGAGGAGGGCGACTCTATCTACGTTGCAGGATTTTTTTTGCTTTGCTGTTGTGAAATGCACTCACGATTAATAGATAGAAACACGATTGATTATGATTTTGAAGATTTCCTGCAAAAAGGTGGAGAGCGTTGCGAGAGATGAAAAAAGACTTTTCGTAGATTGATTCGCTAGTGTGAGATTTTTCGACCATGTGGTAAAATCGTGATTTAGATGTGTCGCACCCCTCTCTTATAACTAATTTAGATTAATTTGATTCACAGCAAAATAAACTCAATAAATTCTTCCAATATCAACAAAATCGTGAACAATATTTATGCTGGTTTCAAGAGATAGCTGTGTAGTGATTATTGGATAACCGGGAAAAGGTTGAATAAGCGCCTTTCAAGTTGACACCGAATTAAACAGCAGGATAACAGCTGTATAGAAGCGTAACCCCAACAGCCATAAGTAGCTGACTAAGTTCGCCAGATTAGCTTGTAAAGAGGTTGAGTAAAGGTTACCTCTTCTCGAATAACATGTATGATTAGTTTTGATTCAAATAAGATTTTGATCACGTTCTCGGAGGCACTCGGAACATGTCGTATGAGGTCATTGGGATCTTAGCTTTCCCAATTCCTCTTTGAATGTAATTATTATAATGGATTACTTTTTTACCATTATATTGGCAACACTTCCAGAGCCAACACGTGGTTATTTAACAATTAAACGTGGCAATTTCAAATTTAACTATTGGAAGCTTGGCCTCACCTCATAAAACCATCCTTTGCCTGTAATTTTTTTATATAAAATTACTCATGGAAGTCATCATGCCAAAGAGACATTTAAAACTTTTTAAAACGCATGTTTTACAAAAAATCTGTATCTCTGTTTATAAAAGAGTTATATTGAATTATATTTTATGAAATAAACAAAGTTAAATTGAATTTAAAAAATGACATGTATCTAATTTAATCAAATAATGTATTTAAGATTAGCCCTTTCAAATGGTAACCTGAAAACGTATGTGTATTTGTCCCGTGCTGAGTAATTAGCATCTGAAAAGGGATATTTTTTTTTTTGAGAAAAAAGTTCTAGGCAAAATAGCGAAAAAAATTACTTTCTAACTCCACCTTCTCCGATTTGTAGGATCAGTTTCATGGATTGACCACTTTTACCGATGTTTTGGATCTTTCGAAGGACCGTTCCGTTATCTCTAGCACTCCCCGTTACACGGTAGTCGGAAGCTTCGTAGTCGCTGTAAAGTTTTTTACCCACCGTGTTCGGAGTGTTAAGCATCTTTTAAATGTTTGTTCAGTCTGCTCTATATCCAGGGAAGTCTACAAAATTGTACCTCGATCGGACCGGGAATCGAACTTGCTGGCTTGGTAAGGCCGTGCCTTTATTTTCAAGGCTATCCTTCTCAAAAAAAAACATTGCATGCAAAATTCCATACCGATAAAGCACAGAGCATTCTTGGTCCTATTTGTGTCGTATTCATAATATGACATCCCGAATAGACGAGAATATCAAATCAATAGCCAGTTTTACTTTTAAAACAGAACATCGAACATTACTATTAGTTTGATTGATATAAGAGGTAAAATATGAAAAATAATATCAAAACATCTATGATCAACAGAGTAATATGACATATCTAAAGAATATGTTGACATATCTAAAGAATAGCAAAAATCATAGCAAATTGCTATTATATCTCATCAAGCTATTGGTACTTTCATTAAATTAATCAGTTTACATACATATTAATAGCTAATTCTCCAATCAGATCAAAATTATCACTTGAATTCATGTTATCAAACTATCAGAACATTGGCAAATTATGCTTTGAAAGCAGAATAAGCTATTAACTTGTTAAAGCACACAACCTACTACAGTCAAATTTCGCTCGTTGGACTATGCTTAAGTGGGCTACTTTTTAGTTTTGGGGTGTAGCCCACCTAAGTCGAAGTCAAACGCCATTTCTGGCAGAGCTGTTTTTTTTTTCGAGGGGCTCATGTATGAACACTTTGGATAGTTGGTTGGTCTAGAAAACGGTTTGGTTTTGACGATGACAGGAGCACATACCGTGGTAGAGGTAACAATAGCTGCAATTTCCAAACCTACGACTGGATGCCTCCCTTCAAATAACAACATGAGTGCGCTACAGTCGAATAGAACCAGGCCTAAACATTCTCATTTGAGCTAAAATACTACTTTTCAAAATTATGAAACTATGAGATATTATAATAATAATGTTTATATGTAAGATGCAAGAAGGGTTAAAGTTTGTGTATGACACATAACACCAGTCAATTTTGCTTTCAGAGGGTCACAATAAACTATTTTAGCTGTAATGAGTAATCGTCATGAGTGAGTACTATTCGTTATTGCTAATCGCTAATGGTGACACTCTGAAAGCAAGATTGACAGATATAATTTCGAAAAAGTAGTATTTGAGCGTTAATTAATATGTTCAGCCCTGGATAGAACTGTTTCAAACACATCGTCGGTACATGAGCAAGTCGGTGATCATCTCTTTTTGCCAGTGGTGGTAGGGGGGGGGGATACCCTTCACCATCCCTCTCCAACGGGGGAGTTTGGTAAAGAGGGATGCTCAACCCGATTTTTACCTTCCTAAAATGTTGTCCTTGCTAGCTAATATACAATTTTCACAATGCCGTACTCTAATGGTACTATCAATTCTATACTTTCATCTCCTCATCTATCGTATAAAAATTACCACTTTAGTCTGTTATTTGAAATAAGCATCTTGAACTATGTAAATCGTTAACTTCGCGTAGAAGTAATACAAACAAATATTTAATGTAATAACATAATAAGATATTGATCGTAAAATATGATATTATTCAGTTCTGATTTTGCTATTCACCTCTAACCGGGATGCGGTGGAAAATGTGCTGCACAAGCAAAACTGACGCTACAGCACATGTTCCATGAAACTAATGCGCTGCAAACAACAAATCAACGAAGATTGCGGCAAAACTGGATCAGTTCGCAACAATTCGTCGTAATGAGAACATCTAGCCACTCGTGGAGACAATGTGCGGCTGTTGTGTGAAGGTATCGTTGAACTTACTCGCCAATCTGCTGCAGCGCATCACCGATGACATAATGGAGCTGATCTACTGCCAAAGAAACTGCTCTGCTAGCCTTCTGTCAGCCGAAGATCAATACCAATGCCACCAACGAGAGCAACCACAGGCTAACAGTGATCATGAACGTCATCTACCATCAGACCAGCAACTGGTGCACCGCGTTGATGAAGGTGATTGATTCGGTTTACACGTAGAAAGACATATCATTCCGTCACAAATGGTGCTTAATTACACACAGGCGGACGGGATGCCACCACTGCGTGTAAATAGAGGAAAAACAATTAATCATTCCGCGTCGAACAGATGGCTTCCACAAACGGGAAAATCAACTCATCCATGTTTTTGTCTAACGTTCAGATGCTGCGACAGACTCAACAAAGGGCACTGACCTAGGAATGGCATCGGCAAAGCTGAAGGGGCCTAGTTTTTACAACGTGATCTACGATACCGTGGAACTGGAACCGTACTTCTGCGCCGTTGATCGCCCGCAGAGTGTGGAAATACTTCGCGGTCATCCGGATGGAGCCTGTCTCGTGAGACCGTTCAAGCTGAAGGTTGGTATTTTTTGAAACAACATTTCTTTCACGTAACAATTGAGATTGGTTTTTGATCAGCACGCTCACATCCGGTATATCCTTTCGGTGCACGCTGCGGGGGCTTACTTTCACCTGTTCATCCGAAAAACCAGCCCGAACGGGATGTACGCGCTGGGACTCGAAAAGCAAAAGGAGCGCCAGTTTAAATTCCCCTCCGATATCGTCCAGTATTATCGAACCCATCGATTGGAATGTGCCACCGGTGATAAGGCGGTTAAAATCAGGCTCCATTTATTGCCCATCGTAAATGTTTGTGCCAATCACCCGGGGCGGCGGCGCATCGATGCCGATGATGACGGCGCGCAAGGAAGTTGTGATACCAGTAATAGCCAGTAAACCCGACGAAGTGAGTTGAAAACGTTTAAAATTTATTACATAAAACATTTTACTATATGTACAGAATCTTACCGAGCAGATACGAAAACGCCTGAAACAAAAGTGGTTAAAATCAATTTCGGTCGGTTGTCTTATGTCGCTACTTTTTGGAACTTGCACTAAACGGCTCAGTATTATTTAACGGTACGATGATTTCGTCAATCGCGGTCCTTTGACTGCAACGAAAAAATACTTGTTTGCATTATGTAACTATGAATCTATATAGACGTAGCGGAAAAGCGTTGTTGAGCAAATATTTCCCATGAACCGATTGGGGTTCCGGATTGGTACAGGATCTAGACGACCTCTCTACTACGTGGCAACGACTGCCTTGAAGACGCAGCGGCCGTTCTGAATCAGAGCTGGCCACAGGAAGGCACGGATGATGTCCGATCGCTTCTCCGAGATTGGGTAACGTTCGTGTTTCTCCGGTTGGAGCAGCCCTGGAAGGAGATGAGGAAAATTTCGGATTATTTGATGGTCAACCCAAGTTCTAGTTCAATCTAAGGTAAAGCACGGTGTGTATGGTAGAATAATATTATAATGAAATAATAAGCATCGCTGAATCCTTCACTATTTTAAAATAGATCGTTTTTCCTTTCATTTGAGACCTGTCGAATATAATCCACCGAGGGATCGCGGACCTCTTTTGTTTGTTATAATTTTTCGTCCTGAAAGCATAGGCAACTTAAAAAAGAAAGAAATTCCCTGAGCTTTCGCAATTTTTCAAGGTTCAAATTTAATGCAGATTTTGAGTAAACTCACTCAGAAAAATCTACTGTATTAAAAAATTTAACGAGGAATTTAAACATTAGTTTAGGTAAATACAATAAATTTGATGATATTCTTGCATATTTTCGGGAAATTAATAACTCAATAGGATAAAACTCGTAATAAGTTAGAAAATTTATAGCTCTTTAAGGGGATACGTCTATTAACGTATCCCCTTAAAGAGCTATAACTTTTCTAACTTATTACGGGTTTGAAAAAAGTTAGAAAATTTATAGCTCTTTAAGGGGGTAGTCCACTCTGGCGGCATGAAAAAAGGTTATTTTCACAATTTTTTTTTTGAAGGTAAATAACGATCAATTCAAAAAAAGGAATGCATGGTTTTGTCAATTGAAATGTCCTCTTTAATTGAGATTTTTTTGGCGCGATTGGATGTCTCCTGTAGCCGCTGCACCAGGTTCCCCAGGAGACCTCCCATCTGAGTCGTCGCGGGGCGGGACGTCTGGCGGTCACACCACTGGGGCTGGAACAACGAATTTTTTTGTGGTTATTCTCTGATAGATGACCCAGTCTTGTACCTAGCCGTTTTTGATTTGGTTGAAAAATAAAAATTTGGCGACGTTTTGAAAAAAAAAAACAGTCCGTTTTTGTACCCTAAAATTGGAGATAAAAGCTTGCACCAAAAATCCATTTTTGATTCATTTGAAAATCAGCTACGTACAAGACTATAAAAAAAAGGTACTTTACTCGAAAATTTAATCGCCGTTTAAATCTAATGAGCCGTTTCTAAAATACAGCGCCCGCCAATTCTACCATCAGCCATCTGGTAACGACGCGGCAGCAGTTGGAACTACTAAGACACGCCGTTTCGCCGGTAACGGGCGGGTACTCCGAGCGCTCACCTGAGCACGCTTGGAGCGTCTGGACACGAGTCCACTAATCGGCCTATAACTTTGGAACGATGTCACTTGCGGACTTGCGGTCAAGTCTATGTCAAAGTAGACATTCCAAAGTATTTTTAAGCCAAAAAAAAAGATTTTTTTTTTAAATTTCCAGAGTGTACTAAAGCAAAATAATAAGTATCATTCGTGATGAATATCGGGCCAAATTGGTATTCAAGCAATTATTGAAAATTTAAAAGAAACCCGATTTTTTTTAAATTTTGCTTTTGCCACTTTAACCAAAATAACAAAAAGTTAATTAATTTATTTTTTTATCGAAAAACACCTATGCTTTTTGAGATCTAAAAAGCTAAGGGTTGTGTCCAAAGCACGACGGCATTGTTGATGTAAGACTATGAGATTATTTTTGCTGCTCCATTAAATAACGGGCCACGAAATTATTGAAATCATCACTGTGGCCAAATATTTATTTATTTATTGCCATTCGCCTTCGACTATGTCGCACAGACTACTACTAACACTTTTAGTCACTAATGTTGCTAAAAGCCTTGATGCCAGGGTTGCCAAAAGCAAATCTGTATTTTTGCTTATAAAAATCTTTTCATCTGTATTTCTTCTTCGAAAAATCTGTATGTATCAATATCTGTATAGATTTAATATTGCGTATTTCGCTCCAAAATGAACAAATAAGTGTTGGAAGTGCGGTAACGGTCATAAAAGTGCACTTTTGCATCGAATCGTGCTAGTGCGTTTTGCGCCGAATACATTGTTAGCGGTAAGCTTCAACTCGGAATTATTTTTAATACCGTTCATGTTTGGAAAATTTGCCAAATGTTTGCTTAAGAGGAGGTTCTCTTTCAAAATTTTCAAAAAATCGGTTTTTTTGTGATTACATTTTTTGAATGGTATATGCACAGACAAACAGACATAACACATTGAATATTTCTCGTCGTCATCGTCGCTAAAACATTTCCGCCATCTGTTGAGTACACTGTGGTGGGTAGTACGCTTAACAGATGGCGGTAGTGTGTAAACGTCAAACGCAAGGAAATTTACTATGCGCGCCACAGGTGGCAGTACTACAAACTGAGATATGTACTTTCAAATTGGCCGTTAAATGCTTGTTCGATGAACAACTTATGAGAATTATGTCTGTTTGTCTGTGATATAAGTGTCTACTATAGTGTGTTGAAAGGGTTTTCGATCCGCACACAAAAAAAAGTTTCTACAGGCCATTGTTCGAAGTGGCGTCCCGGCACTAATATTCGATCGAAGCTGTCGTGTTTATCTCGAAACAGGATTTTTCAAAACTGCGTACAATCTCATTTGAAAACGATTAATATAACGACTTCTACCTTTGACCATTCAAAAGAAAACCTTTTTCATTTGAGGGATGACCTATAAAATCTACAAATTCTTTGTATTCACTATTTTTTTCTGAAGCCTTAAAGTGGAAAAAAAGGTGAATCGACCAAAAAGTTTGAGATCGCACTATTTTGTCAAATTTGAAGTTATTTACCAGTTCTTAGATCATTCCTCCAATTAATTTAGCTTACTTTAAAGCCTCATTAATCGTCAGATCGATCCTGAGGTACTAGGCTGTACGCAGTTTGACAATTCCATGTGTACACTACCTTACTCAAAACGTGACCACAGGCGCCATCTTGTTTTTTTCATTTGCCTCTATCTTATTTCATCAACAGCATTCCGCAAAATGATGTACAGAGCTTTAGTAGGTTTTGATATTAGCTACAACTTTTGCCCATAACTCAAATCTGTATCTCTTATGCATCACGAATTAGAGCGGGCAGAATTTGTTACTGATTTTCAGTGAATGTAAAATAAATTCATTGAAAAACAGTAGTGGCTTCTGTTCGCTCTGGTTCATCATGCATAAGAGATACGGATTTGAAATGTTTACAAAAGTTGTAGCTTATAACAAAACCTACAAAAGCTCTATACATCATTTTGCGGAGTTCTGTTGATACAAAAATTCAAAAAGGGCAAATGAATGTAAATGAATGCACGAAATGAATGCAAATCATTTTCCATGCCTGCGCATAACAGTGCTTTCAACGCATAAACGTCAGTGAATTGCGAAGCGTTGCGACGAATGAATCCAAGAACAGACAAAGCTTTAGCTGTTAATTATGCTGGATTTAGACTAGGCAAGTCAAATGGTCAACTCAGTTGAATTCAATTGGCTTGAAAAGTTGAGCCTGGTTCAACTGTTTTCAATTCAAGTGAGTTGATCAAGTCAGTTGAATGGCATGATTTACACGTTCAATTCGCGTTCAAGTCAGTTGAGTTCAACTGAGTTGATCATTTGACTTGCCTAGTCTAAACCCAGCTTTATGGTAGCAATATGATCATTGAACCTCAGTTTGTGGTATATTATAACACCCAAATTGCGAATGGACTGAACATATTCCAGAGGGGTTGTATCGATGGAGTAAACGTGAATAATAGGCAACCAGCGGACGTGATTACCTTGCTCTTGTTGATGTTTACACTCATACCATTCTCGTTGCACCATTGTGAAAGCATGTCGATGTCCATTTGTAAAGCCGCACAATCCAGTGTGGATTTGATTACCCTGAACAGCTTTAGATCATCCGCGTATAAAAGCTATACATACGAAGGCACAGATTGTTTATGAAAAGGACGAGGATAAGAGGGCCTAACACGCTACCCTGAGGAACTCCATATGGTATTTCGAATCCTTTGGAACGTGCAGAGTTAACCTGGACGAATGCTTTACGACCAGTCAGGTATGACTTCAACCAGTCCGTTATCCATTCCGGAAAACCCATGCGTTTCAGCTTCTCCACGGCGTAGGTATGCGGCACAGTGTCAAACGCCTTCGAATAGTCGACGTAAATAGAATCAACCTGATTCCGACGTTCCATCTCTCGGAATAAACTGCTCGTATAACACTGGCAATAGATTAGTTGTTGTTGAGTGACGAGGAACAAACCCATGCTGGTATTCAAATATCAAGTATTTAGACAACATTCAGGAACCTTTGAGTTCCATCATTCGGAGTTCCAAACCGAAAAATTTACAAGAAGCATACCAAGCAATGCTTCTCAATCAAAACGCGGAAACTCGAAAAAACCGCAACCTCACCCCAACCCCAATTACTCAGGTAAATTTAAATCACATAAACCACAGAATGCACAAACAGGGGTTTGCAACAATCGCAACCTAATACCCCGTACAGACTATGGCTTATATCATGTCATACAGCCTTGACAGCCTTGCAATGAGATCTCATACATCTAGTTTTCACTGGAAATACTATGTATGAATGCGCATTGCAAGACAGCCTATATTATTGCTGATTGCAACTGAAACTGGACAGCTTTAATAATCTAAAAAGTGTGATAAAAGTGCACGTTTCCGTCTAATCGTTTTGGTGTCTTCGGTGCACTTATTGCTTACTTGCCAAAGAATAAGTGCACCGAAGACACCAAGACGATTAGACGGAAACGTGCACTTTTATCACACTTTTTAGTAAGTGAAAACGCGCTTATAGTCCAGTTTGGTGTGAATTGCGCAATACATGATATAAGCCATAGTCTGTACAGGGTATAGTATAACGCGTCGCATAATTATCCACCAGTTAGAAAACAACCATTGCAGCCAAAGCCGTGATAACGAATTGGAGAAACTGGACGAACCCGAAACTCCAGTTGAGCAAAATGATAATTTGGATTTCTCGGACGAGGAACTAAATTTTCAGACTGCCAGGGGAGAGAAGAACCTAACATATATTTCATTCCATATCTTCGTTTTCCATGATGGACGCG